CCCCAAAACCCCAAAACCCCACCATAGAATTATATAGAGCATGTAAAGTATATATTATTGTTTAAATTTAAATTATTAATATTTCGTCAAAATGAGTCAATTATTACTAGAGTTCAGCAATAATCAAGCACTAGCTAGTTAACATTCTCCTTATATTATCATTGATAACAATAATCATAGCAAATAATCCTTCGATGATGACTAATTCAAGACTCCTGATCAAGAATCTACAGAGGTCAGTGAATCTGAGATACTTCAACTAATGATGTTTGACATGGTCAAGAATAATTTCAAATAGCAGCAGACAGATTTGCAAATGTTTTCGTAAAAATCGAATGAAAACATAATTTCATCATCCTAATAAAGTTAATCCAGAAAGACTCAAAATTGCAAGAAGCCAATGCAGTTGAGTCTATGGAGTTTCTTCAACCCTCACAAAAACACTGAAAATGTTCAATCCTAGAAAAGTGATGCGTCTATGAGTTCTCAGTCCCAAAATAGCGGGAAAGATCACAATTCATAGTCTGATAGGCCGCAAAATATTGTAGTAGAGAAATGCATCGATAATCCATTCATTCGAGTAAATGTTCCTTCTAAAGTCAAGAACACTGAGAGACATCTTTTGGAATAACTTAAGGACATCGAGAGTAAGAAGCTCTTTGAAATAGATGAGGATCACCAATCTTCATAACATTCTTGGCTTATAGACATTGAAATCATAGAAATTAACAAGCTGTTATACAGGAGAAAATAAATGTGTAAACAATTGCTATAGAATTTAATATTGTGAGTTAAATTGATAATGTAATTATGATTAATTAAACTTTGAACACTAAAATATATTCATCGATTCAATTTTTTCTATCTACAGTTGATTTCTTAAGTGATTATTCGTCCTCTGACTTGTGTTCCTCTACTATTATTTATTACTAAGTCAAAGAGCTTAATTCAAATGATCTTTTTGTATTCAATGTACTCTTCAAATCATTAAATGAGGGCACTTTAGGAATGAGACTCTCATTGACGACTCCTTAAACTTTGAATACCCTTTTAATCTTTTTAAGAAAGCGTTTAGCAAACTATCTTGGTGGTTTTACAGAGAAGTCAGTATTTCGTCTAACGAAATGTGCTAGGAATGTCTTACCATACATTTCGAATTTCTTGCTAAAATTCCATTTTCCAAGGTAATCAATAATGCCCATATGATAAACGAATTTCTTAGATGGACTGAAAATTATGAATTTACCTTGTTTAACTAAGTCATCTAATATTCCTAGAAATTCTTAATCAGCAAAGTTATTTTATGTTTCAGTTCCTTCCTCTCCAAGATAATATGACGGTCTAGCTTAGGTTTATGTATCCCTGTTTTAATTAATTAACTATTGCCCATATTAATCACCACAATACATTTGAATCGAATCAGTATCTCGTCTTTCTCTTACTTAAGGAACTTCCATTACAACTAAAAAAAGAGAATAATCCATTATTCTCTACCCTTCTAGAAATCTTATATCAAGTTCAATGGTTCGAAGGAAATCTTCTACAGTTCCAAGATCTTCTATAGTCACAGGGAGTTTTCTATCATGCAGTACTTTGAAATCTGAGTCCTTGAGAAGACCTAATTTACTCAATAAATAATTTCTCATTTGTGGATTGTTCTTAATATCTATTTTCTAATCAGCATTCCATTTTCTCTGTTCTCTATAAAGTTGCTTCTACTATCTGTATATCAATTATTCCTCATAATCTAACTGTTGAAACTTTTCATCATTTTCAAGTTCATCATCAATATCCTCATCATCAGCCAATTAATTATCATCTGAGTCGTCATCCTCAGATTCTTAATCTTTAGAGTCGCTGTTAGTATTGGTTTTCAAAGATGTCTTGTGTGCTGTGGTAGAATGACTTGTTAATCCAAACTTCTTATCAATACCTGACTCAGTTGATAAAGTCTTTGTTTAAGACCCCACTATATTTTTATACTTCGAATTCTCTCGAGATCTATTCTCTTGAGAACTTATTGATCTTGGCTGCTTGTTTCTATTATTTACACTTAGATCAATCAGAGAAGCTAAGTCTTTAGTTTTTGGGAATAACTCATTGAACGCAGGATTAATTTCAAGTAACTCCTCTTTGACAATATTTGCCTCCTGTCTAGTCTTAAATTCTCTTCGATTGACTGTTGAAAACTTTAGATCATACTTAAATCGAATGAATAGATCGCTAAAAGGGTCTACAGATTCCATAAGAATATGATATACTTTTGTCTTTTCAGCTATTTTTATAGAATAAATTCCAACTATCTTTGCTAGTACACTATAAGGTAGTTTTCTTATATGCTCGTTATATTTTGGCAACATCTACATTAAAAAATCTTTTTCTTCTTTCTTGATTTCTTTGATTAAGAACCTTTTGTCGTGTGTTTTAATCAATGGCTTTCCTCCCTTAGCATTAGTTTTCTCAAAGCTTTTTACAAGAGTCCTAGTGTTATTGTAAGGCGAAAGACTTTCTCTAAAGAAATCTTGACTCATATTAAGTCTGAGTCTCAAATTTTGCATTATTACTGATGAATACTCAGTAATTTTGAAAGTCAAGTTTTGCTGAAAATTTCTCTCTAATTCATATGGAAAAGAATAGGAATCATCTTGATTATACTTTTAATTTAGTTAATGAAGCGTATACACTTTTGATACCTTTTTATTAAAGATTTCTTGACTGAATAGATCTCTACACAATTAAAGCTTAGGGTATGATAAATTACTTAGATGCAAGAAGGTCAATGATTTCTGTAGTTAGTTGATTTTAGAAGTAAAGATCATATACATCATCTATAAGCATGCATATCCCACTAAATGTAGCCAAAAGATTCTATTAAAATATTATCTAAGTCTGAAGTTTTACATTCAACGTCTCAACTTAAGTTAATTTGTCATATATTTGCTATGAGTTGCGTGATGCTGTTGGCCGTTAAGTAGTGCTATCTGTCGTTCTGTCTTTTTCTTATCTCTCAGTTTCTATGAGAGATGTCATCAGCAAATCAAAATCTTTTTCCTAGTAAATTATAATCAAGAGTCATTACACTTTGATTACTGCAGCATCGGAATTATTATCTTAAAGATGGGTCACAGATAAGTCTAGCTATAGTGTTCAAAAGTGGATTCATAACCAAGAGAGTTGGAAAAAATACATCAAAGAAATCTGACTCAGTCATGTTAAGCTTTAGAGTAAAATTCAGAAAGTGGAGAAATGAATAAGGAATCCATGTCAAAGAATAAATAAGGATATTCAAAATATGACAAATATAGACTTATTTCTAGAAATGTTACTAAAATATAGTAATTTACCTGTCCTGTGGGCACTTTATGTCTTCCGCATAATTTGATGAGATACTTCCCTGCTGAATATAAGCACTAAGGCCATACAAATAAGAGAATTGAAACTGAGAGGAACTCTATTATGGAGCCACTCATTATTCCACAATAATCAAAGCACTATAATCACTAATTATGCTATAGCTTACATCAATTCCAATATCCTGTATTACAATTGTAAGCATTGACATGAAAAGTCCTGTAATGATTGCATAAAAATGATACTTCAAGTGACTTATCTCCTTTGGATTGTAAACTTTTTGCAGACTATCAATCAAATCGTTCATATTGTAGTGATAAGCAGCCGAACTATAAGTGCAGAACACTCCTAGAATGCCAATCAAATAGCAGCCAATATAGCTTTCTCTGACACTCATGGTTGTTGATAGTATCACTTTTAAAGTCTATATCATATTCACAATAATGATACCCATTAAAAGTAGATTATCTGATCATGTAAATAATAAATTAGAATTTTTACAGGGATTTTTCTGGTTTTTCCGACTAATGAAGTGAAATACAAAAACAATCGAAGCTATCAAAAGTGAAAAAGCTCCCATTACAAATATCGTGATCTCAGGATCTCCCATGTTATTATTATAATCGATATAATTATTATTCTGCTAATTCATTTAATAAATCTTACTCTATCTCAAGGGGTTTTGGGGTTTTGGGGTTTTGGGG